ATCTTGTGGCCTAAATATGGGGGCGGAAGGCCACCCTAAACAAAGTGTAGTGACCTATAGTGTGGCAGGCCCCAAGGTACAGCACAGTGACCTGCTGCCATCCCTGCCATCTGCCGCCGACACCACTTCCGCCATCTGCCATCCACATCACTATCCTCACTGTGATATTGCTTCAGCTCTACCCGCCCACTTGAAGTGGGTGGCAGTGGTTCTAGACACAGTGCTCTTTATTCTGCTGTAGATTAAGTGGTTAGGTAGTGGAGACACAGAAGACGGCCACTGTGGAAAGAGGAAGGGCAAGACTGTGATCGTTAAGAATCTTCAGAGAAGCTTGCAATATGGACTATTTCTAGGTGGCTACTTATTGGCAGTCTAAGTGGTGTTACCATTTGTCACACTTGTGCAACAACTCACTGTAATAACTCCTTAGATACTAGTACTATATTGCTTCTCTCCCAGGAATCCTATCTCAGTGTTACCTTGTCTAGGTGCTACACTGAGAGCTACCTTGTCTAGTCGCTATCTTGTCTGAGTGCTACATTGTTCGAGTTATTGATCACTGAGTGCTACACTGAGAGGTCAGTGAAAGGTCACTGAGTGGCTTCTGGGAGGTCAGTGAGAGGTCACTGGAGGTCACTATCGACACAGTTATCACTTTCTGTGTCAGCTTTCATCAGTAAGTCATCTCCTTCACTACAACAATAACATCAGGAACGACAATAAAGAATAGTTAGCAGCCAGCTGTTATCACACACATAATAAAACCAGTACGTCCAATGACACGATTCGCCAATGTGGCGAACTAAATCAGTGTAGCGAACTAAACCACTGTGGCGCACTAAGCCAGTGTGGCTTAGTTCGCTTGGTGTCCTAAGGTCATTCTCTCCAGGACACTGTCCACGACTGCCGATTAAATCCCAGATACCTTTTTACTGCTACGTTAGCAGGAGCAGCAGGTGTTAGATCTACCTCGCTTAAGATTCGAACCCGGGTCCTCTTGGTTGTGGGCCGGGCGCTCTACCTATTACCTAAGAAACTCGCAAACGTTTAGTTTATTTTAAGGATGAAACAATGAGCGTCAATAAATGACTGTTGGTGTTGTTGGGCTTCCAGCAGCAACAGCTTCGTTGACCAGGCAAGAACAAGACAAGCCTGGCCAAGGGCTGGACAACGGAAAAAGGAAAACACTTCACACCGGTCACAGGTATACAGTGGCCTCCCAGACCTTTTCCTCCTAGTTGGGAGTGGTACCATGACGCATGTTTCTTATTGCAACTCAGTTAAGTTCCAAATTACATGTGCAATGCATCCCATCTTGTCTGCAATTTCCATCATAGGGACTTGAGGCCCTCATCCAGAAAGGTAATGAGACGAGTCTTGTCCTCCATCACTGGAACAATAATCACAGATGCCACGACTGACACATTTGAACACCACTGTGTCATCATTATCAGAGACAAATACTGTAGAGCATCTCCTTAGAATGAAGGCTGCCACAGCAAGGCAAAGTGATGACTGGCTTTTCTGGGGACTGGAGGAAGTAGTCGGACGAAGGGGCGAGCGTTAACGGGTAAGTTGACAGTCGGGTGGACGGATCGCTGAGTGTACAACATAAGAGAATCTACTGAACAAGCATTAGCGGGTCCAGGCGTCACCCAAAGATGCTGGAACTTGCGTGTTATCCCACAGCTACAGCAACACGTCACCCAGAGTTCGAGTCGCGTGAGCGGCCATCCTCACTAGGTTACCACTGGCAAGAACGTGAGGAGGTAATGCCTCCTGAATAAGCTATGAAGGTAGAAGGTATAACAATACCGACAATGTGGTTGAGGGGACACAAGTGTATACACTTGAGGCATCTTTATTGAATACACTTCGGTCCTGGGACCTTGGTCACTGCAAGGACTCAGGACCCAAATGTATCCAGTAAAGGAGCCCCAAGTGTATGCTGTGTCTTTGCCTCTACGGCTAGCAATGTTTCCCATCATTCTCCATCCAAGGCTATGTTTCCCAGTCATACTCCATCCAAGGCTGGAGTTTACCTGGAGTTTACCTGGAGAGAGTTCCGGGGGTCAATGACCCCGCGGCCCGGTCTGTGACCAGGCCTCCTGGTGGATCAGAGCCTGATCAACCAGGCTGTTACTGCTGGCTGCACGCAAACCAACGTACGAGCCACAGCCCGGCTGGTCAGGAACCGACTTTAGGTGCTTGTCCAGTGCCAGCTTGAAGACTGCCAGGGGTCTATTGGTAATCTCCCTTATGTATGCTGAGAGGCAGTTGAACAGTTTCGGTCCCCTGACACTTATTGTATTGTCTCTTAACGTGATAGTGACACCCCTGCTTTTCATTGGGGGGATGTTGCATCGTCTGCCAAGTCTTTTGCTTTCGTTGTGAGTGATTTTCGTGCTCAAGTTCAGTACTAGTCCCTCTAGGATTTTCCAGGTGTATATAATCATGTATCTCTCCCGCCTGCGTCCCAGGGAATACAGGTTCCGGAACTTTAAGCGCTCCCAGTAATTGAGGTGTTTTATCTCCGTTATGCGCGCTGTGAAGGTTCTCTGTACATTTTCTAGGTCAGCAATTTCACCTGCCTTGAAAGGTGCTGTTAGTGTGCAGCAATATTCCAGCCTAGATAGAACAAGTGACCTGAAAAACCATACCCCGTTTGTTTCTCGCTCTATTTTGTGGCCGGAATTTGTTTTGTACTCTGATGAAGTTTTAATTTCCTCGTGTTTACCATATCTGAGTAATTGAAATTTCTCATCGTTGAACTTCATATTGTTTTCTGCAGCCCACTGAAAGATTTGGTTGATGTCCGCCTGGAGCCTTGCAGTGTCTGCAATGGAAGACACTGTCATGCAGATTTGGGTGTCATCTGCAAAGGAAGACACGGTGCTGTGGCTGACATCCTTGTCTGTTAGATATGAGGATGAGAAACAAGATGGGAGTGAGTACTGTGCCTTGTGGAACAGAGCTTTTCACCATAGCCGCCTCGGACTTTACTCTGTTGACTACTACTCTTTGTGTTCTGTTTGTGAGGAAATTATAGATCCATCGACCGACTTTTCCTGTTATTCCTTTAGCACGCATTTTGTGCGCTATTACGCCATGGTCACACTTGTCGAAGGCTTTTGCAAAGTCTGTATATATTACATCTGCATTCTTTTTGTCTTCTAGTGCATTTAGGACCTTGTCGTAGTGATCCAATAGTTGAGACAGACAGGAGCGACCTGCTCTAAACCCATGCTGCCCTGGGTTGTGTAACTGATGGGTTTCTAGATGGGTGGCAATCTTGCTTCTTAGGACCCTTTCAAATATTTTTATGATATGGGAGGTTAGTGCTATCGGTCTGTAGTTCTTTGCTATTGCTTTACTGCCCCCTTTGTGGAGTGGGGCTATGTTTGTTGTTTTTAGTAGCTGTGGGACGACCCCCGTGTCCATGCTCCCTCTCCATAGGATGGTAAAAGCTCGTGATGCAGTTCTTGATGAACACGGAGTTCCATGAGTCTGGCCCTGGGGCAGAGTGCATGGGCATGTCATTTAACGCCTGTTCGAAGTCATTTGGCGTCAGGATAACATCGGATAGGCTTGTGTTAACCAAATTCTGTGGCTCTCTCATAAAAAATTCATTTTGATCTTCGACTCTGTCTGGTTAGCGGCTCGCTAAAAACTGAGTCATATTGGGACTTGAGTAGCTCACTCATTTCCTTGCTGTCATCTGTGTAGGACCCATCTTGTTTAAGTAGGGCCCCAATACTGGACGTTGTTCTCGACTTTGATTTGGCATATGAAAAGAAATACCTTGGGTTTCTTTCGATTTCATTTATGGCTTTTAGTTCTTCCCGCGATTCATGACTCCTATAAGATTCCTTTAGCTTCAGTTCGATGTTTGCTATTTCTCTGACCAGTGTCTCCCTACGCATTTCAGATACATTGGCCAATTTTAGCCGCTCTGTTATTCTTTTTCGTCGCCTGTAAAGGGAGCGCCTGTCTCTTTCTATTTTACATCTACTCCTCCTTTTTCTTAAAGGAATAAGCATTAAGCATACATCGAGTGCCACCGAGTTAATCTGTTCTAGGCTAGCTATTTCCCAGTCATACTCCATCCAAGGCTAGCTGTTTCCCAGTCATATTCCATCACACACGATATATTTCCTTCGTAGTTGAAATGTGTCAGCCTGTGCTGGGAGACTTCAGTTGAGCGATGAGGATATAGTCAAGTATTTCATTAATGGCTCGATACACAAATAACCCGCACATAAAAGAGAGAAGCTTACGACGACGTTTCGGTCCGACTTGGACCATTGGCAAAGTCACACTAACCAGAGGTGGAGCAGGACGGCTATATATATAGCCGTCTTGCTCCACCTCTGATTAGTGAGACTTTGTCAATGGTCCAAGTCGGACCGAAACGTCGTCGTAAGCTTCTCTCTTTTATGTGCGGGTTATTTGTGTATCGTTCCAGTCACGGTATTGTGCCTTTTTTTGTTATTAATGGTTCATCAGCTGTGAGAACTTCAAAAATTAACTTCTTGTAGAGCCAGAGTTACTGGTGTAGAGATTTATCTCTTTCATTTCTTGCATATCCTCACATTTTTAGTTAAACCACCGAGAACAACGAATCATACAGAGGTAGTCGCCATATACGGTAAAGACTGTGTATAACAAACCTTTATTGTAGACAATGTTTCGCTCCAAGTAGAGCTTTATCAAGACATGAAAAAGCTCTACACAGCTTTATCATTTCACTCGCATTTTACTCACGTTTTGTAATAAATAAAACTAAAAACATTTCTCCAGAAAAAAACGCTCCCACGAGAGAGTATCTTTCTATACAACCTCCGATTTTCGTACAATATCCTAACCTACCTGTCGAGGCTCGAGGGATCCTCAGTCCTGCAAGCCGGTCCGAAACCAGGCTTCTCCCATGACAACCTGTGAACTCAGTCACTACAGGTGACGACTCATTGCAGTAGACGAAGATATTAGTGGGTACTCACCTTGTCGGAGCCCTCGGTGAGCTCGAGACAGCGGAATTCGAGAAGGTCTGCGTGATCCTTGGTCTCCTGCAGCTCCATCTTCAGTGTGGCTGCCTGGGCCTCCAGTTCTAGCACCCTCGCTGACAGCCACCACGTTGCCGGCCCATCTGTACACACAATTCCATTAGTATATGGAATCTGTGGTTCCAGGAAATATCACCTCTGTGTACAGGTCTTATGCAAAGCCTAAATTGTAAAGGGTTATCAAGAAACACAGGTAATTAAAACTAAGTGCATAACGAGTGTAATATAAGTACAAGTTTGTAAGATTTACTAGCTATCCTACGTGTTCTTGAGAAAAGACCAGCAATCCTGATAAAGGGGAAAATCATTTAACAGATTCTCTCATAAGAGTGGGAAAGTAAAGTGTAGTATCGCTCTGTGTGGTTGCTGTCACCAGTCTCCTACATTCTTCTACAAATAATTTCACTCTTCCGTGAATGTAACATAGAGTAAAAATGGCATCGTGTGGAGGTGCCACCTGACCATCCTGGGTTCGAGACAACTACTCACTGTTGTCACTAGTACAGTATATCACTAATTCCACTATACTATCGCCACAGCATACTATAAGATATGTAATATTTGCTGCTTCTATTGTGTTTAACAGGCAAGCTAAACCGCAACTTAACCGTATTTAGCTCAAGATAATACACACCAGCTTCAATAGATGTGCCACAAGTCTGGCAGACTGACACAATGCCACAGGTTTTACACACTAACGAAGTTCTCACGCAGTGCCAGGAATATGGCACTGTGTCCTGAGTGTGTGCACTAGTGTCCTCTCATCCCCGAAAGGGTTTAGAGCAGTACATTACAAGTTACGAATACCTATATCTCATTTAAAACTGAATTATAGTTATACTGTGACAAGATATTTACACATCACCGATATAGTCACATGCCTATAGCTTTTTTGAGTAAGATACAAATTTGTAAACTCTTTATCAATGTTTTATAACTTAAACATCCAATTGCTTGTCAAGATATAGAAAATACAACGAAAATAAGACTATAAATCCCGATGCGTTACCCTTGAATATTGTAACTTTGCACCGGTGTTGCTAGTGATGTTTTGTTTGTAAAGAGAAATTATAATTTTTTTCAGTGGAAAGATGATGGCAAAAGATGGTATCTGAGGCCAATGAAGTATAATGCGAGTCTTTATTGACCACGTTTCGCCCATATAGTGGGATTTATTAGGTCACAAAACTACTGTATGGGAGGAACATCTTCAATAAAGAATATCATTATACTGCATATATCTATCTACAAGAACCTCGATGGAAATAACTCACTTTGACTGACTTTTTTGTGGGTTATCCTAGGTAATTCATACATATGTTACTGTGTATGATAATTTATGTAACAGTATTTATGAGTACCTGTACCTAAATAAACTTACTTAATCTACACACACACACACACACACACACACACACACATATAATATATATATATATAAAATATATATAATATATATATATATATATATATATATATATATATATATACTTATATATATATATATATATATATATATATATATATATATATATATATATATATATATATATATATATATATATATATATATATATATATATATATATATATATATATATATATATATATATATATATATATATATATATATATATATATATACTATATATATATATATCCAGCTGTAGTTTTTGCAGAGTGCATATTTCACGTATTAACTGCATGCAACATTCTTATTTCCAAAGAGAAGTGCATGATGACTCCCCCAGTACACTGACCTTTGCCTGGGAAGTCCAGTACTGGTGAACTGGACGCTGAAGTGGACGCCAGTAGCTGGTAAGACTTCTGCAACTCTTGGTGATCCTTGGATAACTGCACATACTTGTCGCTGATTTCATTAATCTGAAATGTTTAAAAAAACGTTGTAAGTTAGGTCAGTAGGCAAATTTCAAATAAAAATAATCGAAGATATATGTGTAACATTAAAATAAGTCACCTTGTCTGAATTTATTGAGTTATCCTATGTAAGTTCATTTAAAAAAATCTAAACTTGTATAATATACCTGGTAAAGCTAATTTATTTACTTAAAATGTGCACATTCCTAAAACTTCAATGTTATTATTATTGTTATTAAATTCATGAGTGAATAAAACTTCAATAGTTAATCTTGATATGCACTCGTTTTCTTTGAACAGTTATCTTGGATTAAAGAAAACAACATATTTATTACTTTAGAGGATAAGCTATACTAAATTATGTTTCCTTATATTTATATAATTTGGCATTGTAAATCTCATTATTAATTCAAAGTAACTAGGAAAATATATTTATCCTGGCGGTAATACTGCACATGGTAGATGTCTACCTTTTGATGACACCAGGAACTGTGGCCAACATACCTGTGGCCAAACGGGAGGCTCTGTGCCTGGTGTAGTGGGCGTAAGGAAGGCTGTGGACATTGTAGCATCTTCCAGCGTGATGGATGACAGCTGGGCGTGACTCTCGGATGTGGTGGGCGAAAGGATGGTCGTGGGCGTGGTGGCATCATCCAGCGTGATGGCTGGCATCTGGATGTGGGGTGTGGTGGGCGTGGGGAAGGTGGTGGGATAAGTTGCAGCCTCCGGGGTGAACTCTGAAAACTGACCAGGAGAGTTGTTCTGTGGTGTAGTGGGCGTGGATGCAGGCGTTGACGTGGGCGTGCTCTCTTCGTCGCTGTTCTGTTCCATCACTGTTGGCAGCTCAGATACCTGGGGAAATACAAACTATTATCAAAACTATTATTATTATCAAAAGGAAGCGCTAAACCTACCAGGGTCATACAGCAATGCAGGATAGGAACTGATGTAGAGTCTAAGAATAAATAAGGGTTGAGATGACAATAAATGTAAAGTTAGGAGGGGCTGTGAGGAGTGTTAAAGTAAGGATTATCAAAGCTTGTGTACTAAATCAGTTGCTGTCATAAAGTCGAAGGTGGGACCGTCAGCGAGGAGAGAAAATAAAGTAAGGGTGTTAGAGCGGTGACGACGTCGGAAGAAAAATAGTTATAACCACGACCATAATTTTTAAAGGGATGGACCGGTATGCCAACGGAAGGCCTCCGTCAGATGACCAAAAACTCCAACGGCGGGTCATCATATGACTAAGACCCGCGTCAGGAAACACTTGTCTGTTTCCTGACAAACCTTACCTAACCTAACTAGACAATTCTCACAAAGTGGAACAGGACGCCTCTTCATTAGATACCCATGAGCTAGAAGAGTGTGTCCGATGCGAAGACGGGAGAGTGTTGTCTCCCAACCTCGGTATCGATGACAAGAAGGCCAGAAACCCGAACTTGGTTTGTTGTGAGTCATGTCAGATCAACGTTGTTGCCAGCGGTTAAGAAGGTGGGTAGAGATTACAGCAAAATAGTCAGAGAATGGAATACCTTTGTATGAAACTAGTAGGTCATGTACTGCAGATCACGCAGCAGAGTCTGCCTGCTCATTGCCCTGAACATCAATATGACCAGGGACCCAACAGAAAACGTTTTCTTTATTTTTGCTAGTAATGTGGAGCAACCAGAGTTGTATACGAAGAACTAGGGGATGAGGTGAATCAAATTTTTTAATAGCTTGCAAATCACTAAAGGAATCTGAGACGATTACAAACTTTGAAGTAGGCATAGATGCAATACGGATAATTACAATGAGAATGGCGTACATTTAAGCTGTAAAAATGCTAGCCGGGTCTAATAAATGACCTCGCACCATACTGTGAGGAAACACAGCTGCAAACCCAACACCAACAGAGGATTTAAAACCATTAGTGCAATGGAATGAGAATGAGATTAGAAGTGATTAAGAAAAAGAGAGCGAGAAACAACTGTAAGGATTTGGGGTTTCGCACACGGCAGTGGGGAAGAACAGACACTAACTGTCGAAACTTTCTAAAGGGGAAGTGAAAAGTTAGATGCTAGATGAATATATAAAGGGGGAAACTGAAGAGAAGATAAGAGCGATTGAGGACGAAGAGAAAAGGGACGGAGTAAACAGGGGGGGCGAACAAATGATGGACTTCTGTTAACGTTCGTTACTATCCTTTATGTAGAAGGATCGTGAAGGTCATGAGAGCGGACAAAATAGCGGAGGCAGTGAGCATCACGACGATCGTTCAAGGATGGGACATTTACTTCTGCATAGAGGCTCTCGACAGGTGAGGAGCGAAAAAACAACTAAACGTAAACGTAATCTCTGATGATAGATGGGATCGAGTTTAGAAAGAGTTGCAGGAGAGGCCACAGAATATATCTGGTCACCATAATCTAGCTTCGATAAAATTAGGGCTGAATGCAGTCGAAGGAGGGTTCGATGATCCGCCCTCCGTGAAAGATGAGGGAGGGTTTTCAGGACGTTCAGTCGGCTATGGCAAGTTACCTTCAGGGAGGTAATGTAATGTTTCCAGTAGGCCGATAAATCTGACCGTATCACATCCAGGGATTCATGAGCCATACAGGTACAATGAAACATCAGGGACGATTGAACGTCTGGTGAATGTAACTGTTTGTGTTTCAGCACCAGAAAATTTAAACCCATAAGTAGTAGCCCAATGGGAACCACTGTTGACAGCATTCTGGAGAGAGGCTGTTACTAGGCAACAGTCAGCGCCTGCACAAGCTATAGTGAAATCATTAACATAGAGTTATGACCAAATATTAGATGCGAGAACAAATGTCAGATCATTTATCGCAAGGAGAAAAGGTGTGGTGCTAAGGACACATCCCTGAGGAACACCTTCAGCTTGGACAAAGTCCGGGGAAAACAAATTATTAACCCGAACACGGAAATGTCTCCCAGATAAGAAGTTTGCAAGAAATAATAACAGATTGCCTCGGAGGCCTAAGGAGTGAGCTTAGGCCATGATGTTGTACCTCCAAGTAGTGCCATAAGCCTTTTCAAGATCAAAAAAGACTGCTATAACGGAGTGGTTACTAACAAAGGCATTACGAACATAGGTATCTAAGCAGAGTAAGGCGTCAATAGTAGAGCGGCCCTTACGAAAGTCATATTGACTAGTGGAGAGACTATTGTGTTTCTAAATACCACATCAAACATCTATTTACCAGACATTCCATCACCTTACAAACTGCACTGATAAGAGCAATGGGACGATAGTGTGAGGTATCATGTCCTGAAGTACCTGGTTTACGAAAAGGTAGAACTATAGCAGATTTCCACAGCTGGGGAAGAACTCCTTGCGACCAGATAAGATTGAATAGACGTAAGAGAACGGTAAGGGCTGACGGATGTCAATGCTGAAGCATACGAATATGAATGCCATCAGGCCCAGCTGCCGATGATCAGCAAGCGGAAAGTGTTGACTTTAGTTCTGGAAGTGTAAAAGGCACATTATAGGGCTCTTCTCTGCTAGAAGAAAAGTCTAAGACAGTGACTCTCTGGCAAGCTTGGAGTACACATTTTTGTGCAGAATGATAGTTCTGCATTTCCTGTACCTTGAGAATGACAATTCGGAATAATCCAGTAAACTGCTAATAATAATAATAATAATAATAATAATAATAATAATAATAATAACAAAAGGCACAATACCGCGACTGGAACGATACACAAACAACCCGCACATAGAAGAGAGGAGCTTTCTTCTGTCGTGTGTTTCTGCTCCTTCATTATTTTTTCATCACTTCCCCTTCCCCCACCTCTGTGCACTTGCTCTCCCTCTGTCTCTGTGGGCACCTAGCTCCCTTGCAGTGCTCCCCTTTCTTTGTATTTGACTGGCTCCTCCTCCTTAATTCCCACTACTACCACTACCACCACCACTACTACTACTACTACTTCTACTACTACTACTACTACTACTACTACTACTACTACTACTACCACCACTACCTCTTCCTGCCTATATATAGCCGTCCTGCTCCACTTCTGGTTAGTGTGACTTTGTAAATGGTCCAAGTCGGACCGAAACGTCGTCGTAAGCTCCTCTCTTCTTCTTCTTCTTCTAATAATATAATAATAATAATAATAATAATAATAATAATAATAATAATAATAATAATTTCAAAAAGTATATGATACAACTTACAGAGACCACGGAACGGGCAGGGATTGAGCCCATGGCAAGTGACTCCTAAAACTCTGAGACTCACCTTCAATTTACTTCCATGGTTTCAATCCCCACCCGTTCCTTGGTTTATTTTCAGTCGTGTTATCACGATTTCGTGAGACAACTTATAAAAATTTTAATGGCATTAAATTTTTAAGATTTGTGAAAAATCAAGTTAAAAAGTAATATTTGTATAGTGTGTGAGAGAGTCAGGATGTGAAGTGTTATTGGAGTGTAAGTAAGATAACACTTATGGAGGAATTCAGGGGAAACCGGTTAGCAGCTTTTGATTCCTTAAGGGAGGAAGTGGAGTGACTGCACCCTGAAGGAAGGGTCGGGAAGCTGCGGTTCAGAGGGTCACTTGAATTGTGATGTCAACATACGTCTGGCAATACAGCTACTGAATAATGGTGAATGTTTTCGTTATGGGTCGCCCTACAGTGATGGGTCACACCTGATTTTGGTAAAAAAGGAATAAGTGGGACTGGTATGAAGGATTATGTTAAAAACTTTCTGAATATTATATTCCTTTTGTAAACTTATAAGTTAGAAGTGTGTCGTAGTACTGGTCACAGTGTTTCTCAGTAAACGTGTAGCCACCGTCCACCAGACACGGTGGCCCGTGACCTGGTGGACAGTGGCCCGTGGCCTGGTGGACAGTGGCCCGTGGCCTGGTGGACAGTGGCCCGTGGCCTGGTGGACAGTGGCCCGTGGCCTGGTGGACAGTGGCCCGTGACCTGGTGGACAGTGGCCCGTGACCTGGTGGACAGTGGCTCGTGACCTGGTGGACAGTGGCCCGTGGCCTGGTGGACAGTGGCCCGTGGCCTGGTGGACAGTGGCCCGTGGCCTGGTGGACAGTGGCCCGTGACCTGGTGGACAGTGGCTCGTGGCCTGGTGGACAGTGGCCCGTGGCCTGGTGGACAGTGGTCCGTGGCCTGGTGGACAGTGGCCCGTGACCTGGTGGACAGTGGCCCGTGGCCTGGTGGACAGTGGCCCGTGGCCTGGTGGCCCGTGGCCTGGTGGCAATAACTCTTGCTTCACATGGTGAGGGTCAGAGTTCGATTCCCGGCAAATCGTGGAAACACTGGACGTGTTTCCTTACACTGGTTGTCCATGTTCACTCATCAGTAAAATGGGTACCTGATTGTTAGTGGACTGGTGTGGGTCGCATCCTGGGACAAAACTGACCCAATTTGCCCGAGATGTTGTGCATAACAAGCGGCTTTCTATATAGTAGTTTGTCATTGATGTCAACTATGGTCTGTATACCTTGTACATATACTTGTAGAAATAAAGATATTATTATTATTATTATTATTATTATTATTATTATTATTATTATTATTATTATTATTATTATTATTATTAGGATGCAGACGAACTGTGTACCCAGGACCAGACTGGAACCATCAGAGACTCTAAGTCATGTCAAGTTTAAGAGACACCGAACAACAACAAAATAATGGGATATAATAAAGTATAGAGTAGAAGTTTTTGAGACTTCCTGTACCGTATCTGTATGCTCGGTAAAGACATACAGAATAAGACATTTACTATTCAGTCGGCATCACTAGTGACAAGTATTACTAGTGATAGGTGTTACCTATGGAATAAGACCTTTACTATTTAGGTGGCATCAAGACTCAGAACAAAATCCCTAGACAAGCCAAATCAAAGAAATTATTATCATTGCAAATATTATTGTCTTATTGCTATTGTTTTGGTTATAATAATTTGGGTTTTTGTATGCTATAATAGGAAGTCTTTTGCTACTCTCACAGTTAACAATGGTTAAAATAACTTAAATTTGTCCCACAACTCCCCTACTCTAAAAAATAAAAAAAATCCTTGCAGTAAGGACAAGTACTTATTGATATAAGGTTGGTAACTTGCGCGGCTAAAGCAGTACACTTCACTTAAGTTATTGTGATATAACTACTATGATATAACTAAAAAAAAAGTGTATACAAATAAGGTACACAATGCAGGTTATGGTATTTTAGTTTGAAGACTTGTCGTCAACCAGGAACTTTCTCAATTCACCAGAATTAATAGAAGTCTCGATATATTGTACCTTTGTGTTATAACCGAAGGAGAGGTACCAATAGTCTGGTGGTGACGCCACCAAGCAGAACGCCTGGCCAGGCACCAAGCCTCTGGGGCGATGATCCGTGAAAACACTCAGGGAAAATCCCCATGTACACAATGAATGGAAATCAAGGAGGAAAAACTTGCATGACTGGGAGCCACCGAGCTTACACGAGAGGAGGAGGAGGAGAAGAGGAGCAGGAGGAGGAGGAGAAGAGAAGCAGGAGGAGGAAGAGGGGCAGGAGGAAGAGGTGGAGAAGAGAAGAAAAATAGGAAGGAAGAAGGAAAGAAGAAAGAGTGGAGGATGAAGAAGATGGGATGTAGGAGGAAGAAGGAGAGGGAGGGGGTGGATTAAGAACAGGGGAATTAGGAGAATGTAGAGTACGAAAGGATAATGAATATAAGATACCAGTAGACTGGAGGTATCACATCCTCACCTTGACACAAGACTCTCTACGCAGCGACCACGATGTTGGCCGCGCCAGACACTCTCTCTCCTGCAGCAGATTTTCACGATCCTGCAGCAGACACTCCCGCTCCTGCAACACACAAACATAAAGGTCAGTTAATACTTCGACGGCTGGCTCAAGATATTCTCACATTCATCTGTCAGACAGAGAGTGATGTGTGTTAGTATGTTAAGCAGAGTGGGTAAGGTTTACTTAGGTGAAGTGGAGCCTTTCACTGAGGCTGATTCAATGTAGGTGTGAGCAAGGTAAATAAGATGGTAAGAGACACCTGGCGTCACCTTCCTTATGTCTGTGAAGAACACACATTTCACTTAATAACCACTGGAGCAGTGGGCGCTACCATGTAAGTTCTCACACAGACACTGGGGTCTTTAATATTTCCACTGGGATCCTAATAATTTAACTGGGAGGGGGGATTTCTTAATATTTCCATTTGGGTCCCTAATATTTACCCTGGGATGGGTTGAGAATATAGAAACTATGTATTGTGCCAAAACAAAAGCATTCACATTGCTAAACTCACAAACTAGTATTTAGTCACTTAGTATTTAGTCAACTTACTCCACAATTTGTAATAATTTAGGGTTAAGAATTAATCTAAGTTTGCCTGAAATGCCTAGCCATGCTAGGTGCTCTAGTGGCCCCCTCTGTAATAAGTATTTTATTACATGTAAATCACACAATAACCAAAATCTGTAAACCCCACATTGTAATCCTTATAGAGAATAAACTTTGATTTGATTTGATTAGATTTGATTGTGTTTTCCTATTTCTTTTGGGTTAATCTGGATTTTTATTTATTTATTTATTTATTTATTTATTTATTTATTTATTTTATTTATTTATTTTATTTATTTATTAAATCTAGATAATGTACTCTTTTGTGCCTAAAACATCTGTGTGCCCTCAGGCCTTTCTTAAAAGGTCTGTATATTTAAATAGAAGTGCTGGATCAATCAGTCTGTGATGTGTGAACCAGCGGGCCTCCAAAAGCAACAACCTGGTTGATCAGGCGTCACCAGACGAGCCTGGCCCAGGACCGGGCTGCGGGAGCATGAAAACTCTCGAACTCCCTCCCCCATATTAGTGGCTTCCTTTAGTGCCTAACAATGTTTCATTACATGTAAACTACTTAAGCTTTATAAAGCAGCATGAAAAGATTAGATTTTGCCACCGAAGTGGCTAGTTCAAAGTTTATTCTCTATAAGGATTACAATGCTGAATTTACAGAAATGTGGTTATTGTGTGGTTTACATGTAGTAAAATTGTGATTACAAAGTGTACCACTAGAACGCTTAGCATGGCTAGGCATTTCGGGCAGACTTAGTTTTATTCTTAATTGTAAAATATTACAAATTATGAGGTAAGTTGGTATTATGGCTAAGTGACTAAATACTAGTTTGTGAGTTTAGCAATGTGAATGCTTTTGTTTTGGCACAGTACATAGTTTCAGTATTGGAGTATCACAGGATTCATTATTTTAAGATTGAGATTAATATTTCTGTTTATTTCTGTTTAGTTTATTGTGCACTCCATATCCATCCTGTGGACGGTAGCGCGAGAGCATATGGATACACAAAAGGCCTAGGAACTAGGCCCCAAAGGATTAACAGAGCATGAAAAGACAAAACAAAAATGAATTTGAATTTGAAAAAGTAATGGTATACTAAAACAAGAAAACGGGGATACATGCCACTGTTAAAGAAAACGTGAAAATTAGTAGTGGCTCCAGCGGTAACTAAAGTAAAATGTGATGCTCACCATGACTTCCTCGCTTAGGTCGATGATTCTCAGCTGTTGCTCCTCTATCACTTGTTTCTGTTCCTCCATGACCTGCTTCTGCGCCTCCATCACTTGACCCTGCTCCTCCATCTTCAGTAAGCTTTCCTCCAGCTGTTGCTCCAGATTCGTTCTCTCGTCCTCGAACTTCCGCTGCTGCTGCTCCAGTTGATTCACCATTCTCTGTCTCTCCTCCTCCCATTCCTGCTCCTTCTGTCCCAACTGCTGGATTTGCTCCTCTATCTGGATCTTCTGCTGTTCGACTTGGAGTCGCAGTTGTTCCACCTCTTCTGCCATGGCAGGGGATGGCAGGGTGTGCATGTCGTCGTCTAGGTGAGGGATTGAGATCTGCATCTCTCCTACTATACTTCCTTGTCGTCCCCTGCCTGACTGACTGGGCAGGTTGTGTTGCTGCTGCTGCTGCTGGCTGCAGGTGTTGCTGCTGTTCTGGCTGACACATGGCTCCTGCAAAATACATACTCTTAAATATTCTAAAGGAGTAGGGTTAGTAAGTTTATTCAGGTATACACATATAGCTTGTAGGTAGTAGGTTAGTAGACAGCAACCACTCAGGGAAGTACTACCGTCCTGCCAGATGACTGTGAAACAGAAACCTGTAACTGTTTTGCATGATGGTAGGATTGCTGGTTTCTTTTTCTGTCTCATAAACACGCTAGATAACAGGGATATCTTGCTACTCCTACTTACACTTTGGTCACACTTCTCAGACACGCACATGCATATATATATACATACATCTAGGTTTTTCTCCTTTTTTTAAATAGCTCTTGTTCTTTATTTCTTCTATTGTCCATTGGGAAGTGGAAAAGAATCTTTCCTCCGTAAGCCATGCGTGTCGTATGAGGCGACTAAAATGCCGGGAGCAATGGGCTAGTAACCCCTTCTCCTGTAGACATTTACTAAAAAAGAGAAGAAGAAAAACTTTATAAAACTGGGATGCTTAAATGTGCGTGGATGTAGTGCGGATGACAAGAAACAGATGATTGCTGATGTTATGAATGAAAAGAAGTTGGATGTCCTGGCCCTAAGCGAAACAAAGCTGAAGGGGGTAGGGGAGTTTCGGTGGGGGGAAATAAATGGATTAAATCTGGAGTATCTGAGAGAATTAGAGCAAAGGAAGGGGTAGCAGTAATGTTGAATGATCAGTTATGGAAGGAGAAAAGAGAATATGAATGTGTAAATTCAAGAATTATATGGATTAAAGTAAAGGTTGGATGCGAGAAGTGGGTCATAATAAGCGTGTATGCACCTGGAGAAGAGAGGAATGCAGAGGAGAGAGAGAGATTTTGGGAGATGTTAAGTGAATGTATAGGAGCCTTTGAACCAAGTGAGAGAGTAATTGTGGTAGGGGACCTGAATGCTAAAGTAGGAGAAACTTTTAGAGAGGGTGTGGTAGGTAAGTTTGGGGTGCCAGGTGTAAATGATAATGGCAGCCCTTTGATTGAACTTTGTATAGAAAGGGGTTTAGTTATAGGTAATACATATTTTAAGAAAAATAGGATAAATAAGTATACAAGATATGATGTAGGGCGAAATGACAGTAGTTTGTTGGATTATGTATTGGTAGATAAAAGACTGTTGAGTAGACTTCAAGATGTACATGTTTATAGAGAGGCCACAGATATATCAGATCACTTTCTAGTTGTAGCTACACTGAGAGTAAAAGGTAGATGGGATACAAGGAGAATAGAAGCATCAGGAAAGAGAGAGGTGAAGGTTTATAAACTAAAAGAGGAGGCAGTTAGGGTAAGATATAAACAGCTATTGGAGGATAGATGGACTAATGAGAGCATAGGCAATGGTGTCGAAGAGGTATTGGGTAGGTTTAAAAATGTAAAGTTAGAGTGTTCAGCAGAAGTTTGTGGTTACAGGAAAGTGGGTGCGGGAGGGAAGAGGAGCAATTGGTGGAATGATGATGTAAAGAGAGTAGTAAGGGAGAAAAAGTTAGCATATGAGAAGTTTTTACAAAGTAGAAGTGATGCAAGGAGGGAAGAGTATATGGACAAAAAGAGAGAGGTTAAGAGAGTGGTGAAGCAATGTAAAAAGAGAGCAAATGAGAGATTGGGTGAGATGTTATCAACAAATTTTGTTGAAAATAAGAAAAAGTTTTGGAGTGAGATTAACAAGTTAAGAAAGCCTAGAGAACAAATGGATTTGTCAGTTAAAAATAGGAGAGGAGAGCTATTAAATGGAGAGTTAGAGGTATTGGAAAGATGGAGGGAATATTTTGAGGAACTGTTAAATGTTGATGAAGATAGGGAAGCTGCGATTTCGTGTATAAGGCAAGGAGGAACACCATCTTGTAGGAGTGAGGAAGAGCCAGTTGTGAGTGTGGGGGAAGTTCGTGAGGCAGTAGGTAAAATGAAAGGGGGTAAGGCAGCCGGGATTGATGTTATAAAGATAGAAATGTTAAAAGCAGGTGGGGATATAGTTTTGGAGTGGTTGGTGCAATTATTTAATAAATGTATGGAAGAGGGTAAGGTACCTAGGGATTGGCAGAGAGCATGCATAGTTCCTTTGTATAAAGGCAAAGGGGATAAAAGAGAGTGCAAAAGTTATAGGGGGATAAGTCTGTTGAGTATACCTGGTAAAGTGTATAGTAGAGTTATTATTGAAAGAATTAAGAATAAGACGGAGAATAGGATAGCAGATGAACAAGGATGCTTTAGGAAAGGTAGGGGGTGTGTGGACCAGGTGTTTACAGTGAAACATATAAGTGAACAGTATTTAGATAAGGCTAAAGAGGTCTTTGTGGCATTTATGGATTTGGAAAAGGCGTATGACAGGGTGGATAGGGGGGCAATGTGGCAGATGTATGGTGTAGGAGGAAGGGTGTGTAAAAGAAGAAAATTGAAAGTGAATACAGGAAAGAGTAAGGTTATGAGGATAACAAAAAGATTAGGTGATGAAAGATTGGATATCAGATTGGAGGGAGAGTATGGAGGAGGTGAATGTATTCAGATATTTGGGAGTGGACGTGTCAGCGGATGGGTCTATGAAAGATGAGGTGAATCATAGAATTGATGAGGGGAAAAGGGTGAGTGGTGCACTTAGGAGTCTGTGGAGACAAAGAACTTTGTCCTTGGAGGCAAAGAGGCGAATGTATGAGAGTATAGTTTTACCAACGCTCTTATATGGGTGTGAAGCATGGGTGATGAATGCTGCAGTGAGGAGAAGGCTGGAGGCAGTGGAGATGTCATGTCTGAGGGCAATGTGTGGTGTGAATATAATGCAGAGAATTCGTAGTTTGGAAGTTAGGAGGAGGTGCGGGATTACCAAAACTGTTGTCCAGAGGGCGGAGGAAGGGTTGTTGAAGTGGTTCGGACATGAGAGAATGGAACGAAACAGAATAACTTCAAGAGTGTATCAGTCTGTAGTGGAAGGAAGGCGGGGTAGGGGTCGGCCTAGGAAAGGTTGGAGGGACGGGGTAAAGGAGGTTTTGTGTGCGAGGGGCTTGGACTTCCAGCAGACATGCGTGAGCGTGTTTGATAGGAGTGAATGAAGACAAATGGTTTTTAATACTTGACGTGCTGTTGGAGTGTGAGCAAAGTACATTTATGAAGGGGTTCAGGGAAACCGGCAGGCCGGACTTGAGTCCTGGAGATGGGAAGTACAGTGCCTGCACTCTGAAGGAGGGGTGTTAATGTTGCAGTTTAAAAACTGTAGTGTAAAGCACCCTTCTGGCAAGACAGTGATGGAGTGAATGATGGTGAAAGTTTTTCTTTTTCGGGCCACCCTGCCTTGGTGGGAATCGGCCAGTGTGATAATAATAAAAAAAAAACATATAGCTACATAGATTATCATACATAGCAGCATGTGTACAGAACCTGAGATAACCCCAAAAAGCCTTTTATATTTTCATATGTCTTGTTGCTTTTTGATAATATCTTATATATTTTCATGTCTGGTTAATGGTGGTCTGGTGGCTAAAGCTCCCGCTTCACACACGGAGGGCCCGGGTTCGATTCCCGGCGGGTGGAAACATTTGACACGTTTCCTTACACCTGTTGTCCTGTTCACCTAGCAGCAAATAGGTACCTGGGTGTTAGTCGACTGGTGTGGGTCGCATCCTGGGGGACAAGATTAAGGACCACAATGGAAATAAGTTAGACAGTCCTCGATGACGCACTGACTTTCTTGGGTTATCCTGGGTGGCTAACCCTCCGGGGTTAAAAATCCGTACGAAATCTTATCTCTTATCTTATCTTATCGTAGATTATAAAACTGAAGAGAAGGTATTTGCCCTGAGAAAAGTATGTCTCAGTATACCTGTACCGAGATGTGTGTATATACCCCTTCCCTTCTCTCCACCTCAGGGATACTTTCATATCTCTATTATGCACCCTGAACCCATCCTATGGGCGATAGTCAAAAGATTACAGAGGCCTATAATGGGTCCAGGGACTGGGTCGCGAAGTTTAGACCAGGGGACATCTCACCTTCTCGCGGGGGCGGACATCCTTGCTGGTGACACCTTCCTTCTGCCTCTTGCTCGTCGCCCCAGACCCTCCGGCGCGAGT